CAAGGTTAATTATGGAAACTGGAAACTGTAACTTGAACCACAATTAGATGTAATTAGAGTTTTGACAGTTTGTACATTTGTAGATAAATACCACACAATAGTGTAACCGCGTGAAAGAAAAAATTGTAAAAATATGAGACATGAATGCAGCATTTGGCAGCATTGTAATCCATCAGACTTTAATTCAAACTACTGTTTTTGGGCTTGTGACCATATTCAGCTTTCATATAACACAAAATGGAAGACTGTGAAGTGAAATAATTCCTGTGGTCGCCACCCAGTTACTGTATATAACATAGTCTTAACACTCTGCACAAAGGGTCTTCACACAAAAAGGCTCTAGTCTGTACAGGCTTTCTTTGTGTTGCCATGGAAGTTTCCACTGCCAGCCAGGAGTGAGACAGGGTATGCAGGCGAGTCTAATGGCAGGTACATGGAATAAGGGAATAAGTGTTGAGATTTTTTTTTCTTTGACTGACTCAGAGTCCAAATGAAATACAGCTGTTTTACAGACACCACACTGGACTGCCCCCATCTTTCTCTGCTTCTTTCCTTGTTGCCTCAGTCCTTCAGTTGAGCTAATCAACAATGATAAAGCTGAACCGCAATTGATTACAGCTTTGAGTTAAATGCTAGTGTCAGCATGCTTACAAGCTCACAATGACAAATGTTAACTTGCTAATGTTTATTGGTTATATTTAACATCTTTGTTTAGCCTGTTAGCATGCTAATATTTGCTTGCACGAAATACAAAGTGCAGCTGAGGCTGATGGGAATGTCATTCATTTTGCAGGTATTGCAAATATTTGGTATTTGATGATAAACCAAAGTATTAGATACATTGAATTTTTTGATCTGATGTTGGTCCTAGATTTTAAGGGATCATCAAAGGTATTACAATTCATCCTGAGGGGTACATGAATGTTTGTACCAAATGCCATGACAATCTATCCAATAGTGGTCAATACATTTCACTTATAACTGTAAACATCAGCCTTATGGTGCTCACTATAATGCCATATAGAGCCATGCTGCTAGCAATGTTTTTTTTGCCTTGGTCCAAATGCTCAGCTCATAAATCATTATGTACAAGAAACAAGGCCAAAACTGGGTTCTCCCTTGACAGCAATAATATGTAAGATACATTCCATGTTACCTCTGCTCTATTTTGGCTTTTCTGGCATTTATTTACCTCTTGGGGATAATCTGGCTGGATCCCAGCTTCTTGATTGGGACGTCCTGGCTGCTGTCCAGCTTCTGAACCCTCAGCGGGCTCAGTCCTCCTGTGTTTAGCAATGTGTTTTCAGTCAGCTCATGACATGTATGTGTCAGCATGTTTACGCACTGTGGTAGTTTATGCGTCGACAGCAAGAAATAATAATGGCTCTTTCAATATGAAACATGACACACTTAGTGACTAATGAGGTAGATCATGGTTGGTTGTAACACACAACTGAGTAAGCGGCACATGCAAACAAGAAATGATTTGTTTTTTAAGGCTCTATTTGATTTTCTTTGATAATCTTTTATCAAAATTGAATTTACTTGGAAAAGTTTGTACATGATGTTTGTAATAGTCCAAGACTTTGCTGTAGAATGCTCGGATTATCATCATCAGGATAATAGACTATAGACTGTAGACTGAATGAGTTTAGTCTCAAAAATGTTTGTTATACTTTACCATGATTACCTTAGCATACCTTAACATCCTCTGCGGATGTAATTATGACAAAACAAGCCATCAAAGTGCTTGCAGAAGTACGTGACCCACAGGGGGAACAGAATTAGAAACCCAATAGTTTAAATTTTTTTCTGGATTCTATGTAACAGAATACTGTGGCTACCTTGGAAGCAATTGCTTTTCATCATTACTGTGTGCCACATTGCTGACAGAATAGCTGTCTAAGCAAAATCCCTTGGAGGGGAACAGAAAACACTTCAGTGACAAGCAGTGGGAAAATGCTGAGGCTCTGGAAGGAGCGCTTTCCAAAATGAGTTTCCATGTTAGTTCAGTGGAAGCATCACTGCTGTGAGAACATGACAGTGTGGGTTTGTAACCTGTCCCTGTCTGGTTCTACGGAACAATATGTGCTAAATAGTGACAGTGTTAACTCTAAGAACTCTAACCACATATAGTTTTAGATTTAAGTCCTGACAGTTAAAGCTTTTTCATCTTTGGTCATGATTTTACCATCACAGACAAACGTTTCCTATAAAGGAAAAATAATTTGAACATTCATGTTCCAAGTCAGAATCCAAAGGTGAATGAACATTTTCCGTTGCCACCCCCTCACTATGGAACAGTCAGTAAAGGTTACTAGGCCACCCCCATCTATTGCGACTTTTAAATCCTGTCTTTAAAAAGCACACAGATTTTGTGTTTGCACAACTTTTCACATATGCAGTAGTCCTCCCCAAGATGTGTAAACTTCCACTTTAAGACTCATAATTTAATGTCTGCTTTTGATTAATTGGTGAATTAATCACACAACATGATCATGAATACTTGTATTTTGTCTATTATGATAGCCAAGTTTGACAGGGTGTGAGGCAGCTGATGAAGTGTCTCTTCAGGTAGCGTAATTAATCATCCATAGTACCCTAAAGTGCCCTAGATGTGTATAGTTTGGGTAGAGCTGAAATGTGGTTACAGCTCTGTTAAAACTCAATAAGAGCACAACAGGTCTAACGTACCAATATGGATTTAATCAACCAATCATCGACACAGTCTTGCAGACTGATGACAGAAATGGTTGCGTCAAGGTCACGGTAGGACTGCTTTCAAAATTCATGCCCCTGGTGTAATCTTACAGTCTAGTAAACAAGTGTATGTGAGTGCATTGTGCCTAGAAGAATCTCTTCTTGTATGTTAGAAGTGGGAGGTTTCTGTAAAAGGTAATTATTAAAAGATCTAGACTGGAATACGCCTGAGAGGGAGGGTTTTGACTGTGAGAAAGTATGTGAAATTCAGTGACCCTGCAAGCATGAGGAACACACATATGATACTGCCACTATGGTCGAGTTCATACTCTTATGAACACAGAAATACCACCTCTGCTTTGCTCTTGACCCAGAACCTGCAGACGGTCAGCTGCTTGTTTACATGGTGTGATGTTGTCCTTTAAGCGGCATGTGGTCAGGACCAGTGTGTGTGTGTGTGTGTGTGGGGGGGGGGTTCTCTGATGGAGCTCTCCACACTGGCTCCCAACATGAGGCTCTCAGCACACATAAGGACAACAGTGGCCTGCATATCCATGTCTGGATCCACGGCTGGGCCCCTTTGAGGTGGTCAGATGTTATGTTTGCACAGATGTGTGGGTCCAAAGCCGAGAGGCCAAACCCCCAGTACCCCTATGGTGGTCCATGGCCCACCACTGACTGGGTAGGATGGAGCCTCTTGTGGCTACACTTTCAGTCCCATCATGGGTGAAATTTTGCAGCTTTCCCCAGTGGAAACAATAGACCTACCCAGAATGCCGATCGGCATGTTTTGACCAGAGCCTGGATGGAGGATGACACGACCCAAAGGCATAATCCACTGTTCTTGTCTAGTAAGAGTTTAGTGTCTGACAAAAGAGAATTTAGACACAGTGGTTCAGCATAATCTTTATATGACATAGAAATATATTTTAAAAGCATAGTGATCATGAAAATGTGTAATTATTTTACATAACTTGAAGATGATGTCAGAATTTGAAAGTGATGCAATGGTCTAACTCAGGAACACATTTTTGGTACAGAGGGCCATGTTGAAAACACTGACTTGGCAAGGGTGAACAACTTTGTGTGAAGACACTTACGTCTTGATTATTGATCACATGAATGTGGTGAGTACACGACTGATTCACTGATCTGAAATCTTTATCTTTTAAAGAAAAAATATTTTTAACTGCATCTTAGGTTTTATTTTTTTTCTCTGTGTCCATTGGTTCTATTGGTTACGATAATGTTGTATTGACCAAAGCAATTGCTGCAGTCTTGAAATGTGGTGACAGCAAAGACAAAAGGGGGAAAGAAACACAAGCAGATCAGACAGGTTATAATCCAACCACCAGAATAGCAGAGAGAAAACAAACACCAGCTTTATTTTAACTACCGTATTTGCCATAGTTGTGCACAATCACTGTTTTTCTGTGCAATTAAAAAATGTAGGGTGTGTTCACTTTTGGTTTAACCTCCAAATAAAGCAGTGGCTAATCTGGCTTAACTGTTTGCTCGTTTTCAACCTGTAAGATTGTCTGACTGCTCATGTTCTTTTGCTCAATTTAAGGCAGGTTTGGTATTACGACACTGAAAGCGATTTTAAACCTTTGCTATTTATTTTATAACCTTCCTGTCTGATAAAGTCGCTCAGGTTTCCACAAATTCTGTCTTCCTATATAATCTGATTTAAACTTTTCTCCATCTACAGATAGATCTTTATTGCCTGCTGTGAATATACACCAGCTGCCCTCTCACTCTGCTTGCCAGAGGCAACTTGGTCAGTTCTAATGAAGTCAAGTAAACATCCTGTCTAAAGTACAATGTTTAGCATTATATCACATGGTGTTGGTGGTTTTCAGGATGTAGTGTTACACTAGGGAACATCTGGGACATGAATGACCAAAAGCTTCACTGCACTGTGGTTTTAGGTTGGATGGCAACGAGGAATGACGCAGAAGTGAAATGGTACTGTTTTGGTTTGGTTTCTCTATCGTATGGCTAACACATGTGCAGTATTTTCAAGTTTCGTAGTGAGTCTTCTTGCCTATTCATGAGGGTGACTGTTTTCAATTGATACTTGGCTGAAGAAAGGCACAGCGTGTCCCGCTTTCGACATGCAGTACTAAACTTAGTAATGAAATGAAAAAACATCCTGTGTGATTTCATTTTTGAATGAAAGACTTTGGAGTATTTATACTAACTCTCTGCTCCAGTTGCACAATATTTGAGTTACTACTGCTTCTCAACAGTGCATACTGTACACTGATTTGTCACACAATTTCTGTTGTATGTTGCAGGAATTCAAGAGGGTACAGAGTGCACCAAGTGTAAAAATGACTGGGCACTGAGGGCGGCTATTGCACTGCTCTATGTGCTCTGTGCACTGCTCACCATAGCAGTGGCTGTCCTTGGATACAAAGGTAAGTCTAAACTGAAGGCACAAATTGCTCCTTGTACAATACTGTAGTTTTTTCATGTCTCTGCTGCAAACCTCCAATCCAAGTCCTTTCAGTCTTAAATTCAATGCAGAATTGCTCAAATAAAACAATAATAAGAAAACCCACAATCTTGAGATTCAAGTCCACTTGAATCAAAGCATTACATGCTTAAGTACAGTCTCAAGATTTTCCAACACGGCTATAGACTATTAGCCTTTTTATCTTGTTTCCTTTGATTAAAATATTCAATCTTGACTTAAAAGGGGTCACCTGGTAACATCATCACTTCAAGTCTTGATGTTCTTTTTTTCAGCATAGAGAAACTGATGTTTGTTCATAATTCCCTTTACTTCCTTGTCCCCTGTCCCTCATGTGCAGTTGGTCTCTGCCTGTCTTTCTCTCTGAGGTTTGATGAAAGTCACTGGCAACAGAATGTAAAACTAAATCCAACCAAGTCAGACAGTTCAGCCTAAGATTTACTACCTGACGAGACTCCCTTGACAGAATCCATTGTTTACTCTCCACTGAATTCATATCTTTCTGAGATTAGCCATAGCTTGAGATTGGAAACACATTTGTTGTGCAGTCTTGTCCTTACTGCAACCCGTTTTTTTTTTGCTGTTTCTCCCTGTTTGAACCAGGGCAATAATGTTAAATAGAAACAGAAAGGAATTCCAGCTATCGCAGGTGCCATCAATATGGAATGCATTGTGTGTATTGTCCAGTCTTACACATTTGTGGCCTCAATCAATCAAGGAAAACTATCACTGTCAAAATATTCTTGAGCAAAATATTGATGAAATATTGCTCCACAGGCACCCTAACCTGTTGAACCATGTACCTCAACCAAATGACAAAAACTGCCTTCACCCAGTGGGGAATTACTTTATTCAAAACATGGTCTAAATCTGAATCGTGCCTTGTAAGTGCTGTCAGGATTGTTTTGGGTTTCCAGCTTTGGGTCTGTGTTAGCGTGGAGCCCATCTGATTTTCATGGTTTGGCTCTAATGTCTACCAGATGACCACGCAGCAACTTCTCGGGCTTAACAACCCAGAGGAGATTTTATGGCTTGGTAGCAATTTGTTGTCTCATGAACCACAGGTTGACTCACAAATGGCTGCAAGTGTCCAAAATAGTTTGAGTTTGCCAGAAACCAGAGTAGGTTTGGTTCTGTGTTGTGTTTTTCTCTTTTACACCCTTTAAACGGCATATACTGTAGTTTACCAGCAAACATAAATAACATTTTCTGCACTAGTCAAGATGTTTCTTAGTCTTGGTTCTCCAAATTACCCATTTTGTTAAAAGTTAAAAGTATTGTTTGTGTTACCTGCCGTCTCTGCTGCTCCTGCTGCATTGATCAGCCTTAATCTGCTGGACCTCGTGTTGGGTAACTGCTTAAGTATGGCTCATACAGTAACTTGGGTCACAATAGGCAGTCAATAAGCCTTACTCAAATTAGAAACCTTATGTAACTCAAACTCATAAACCTTTCTAACATAGGACTGTGGGAGGATGGAAAGATTAACTGAGGGGAATAGGAAGGTATGTTAGACATCATTGAGGAAAGATTCTGTTTTGTATTACATTTTCATCACTATTACCAAGGCCAGGTCAGAGTGCTGTAGCAATATAGATAATCTTGAATATGGGCAACAAATAAGGCATGTACAGTATCTGTCAGTACTCTAAAAGATAAAGAAATCAGCATTTTAGAGAGATTGAGAGGGAGAAGATTCAAGCTGCATACTCCCAGCAGCTGACCAATTTTGAAACTGGATGAATGTGTTTTTGTTTGTCCCAAGTCCATGTTATTGTTTCGTGTTTTTGTCACTTCTGGAATGATAACAGTGAAAGCTTAGGATGTTTTCCAGTGCAGTTTTTAGACGCCCACATACTGACAAAAAAACAAACCGTGGCAGAGAGGAGATGGACTCTTATTGCAGATGTGAGGAGGAGAGAGAAAGTGGAACCAAAATTAGAGTGTACGAGTGTGGTATTCGTTATGTGTTTTGATATTGTTTATACTCATTAAATGGAATTTGTGAATGTACTCTGAAAATTTAAATTTTTATTGATCAACAGTTACACAGTTGCCCGGTTACAAAAAACATAGGAAACTCTTCAGCCCGTTCAACATCCTTTGTTCAGAATTTCTGCTTGAGTTTCCAGTTATTCACAGGAGAGGAATGAATACAGCAGCACCCTCTGCTGTTCACAATCAGTTTTACATGTTATATTCAGATTATTTACTCAAGTAAAAGTAGCAAAGCTCTACAAATTTACTCCATTAGAGGTAAATGTCTTCAGCTACATTTAAAAGTATTATCAGCCAAATTTACTTAAGTGATCAGAAGTAAAAGCACTCACTAAGCAGCAGCATGGCTCCTGCCAGTAATATCATATAATGGATTATTATTACTAATGCATCATTGATTAAGCAACATGTTGATGTTGTAGCTTGTGGATGTGGAGCTACATTTAACTGATGTGTTTACTGTTGGGTAGTTTAATCTGTAAAAGTGCATCATATTTTGTAAACTGGTCATAGATTTCTTCTGGAAAATCTTAATCTGTGTAAGTAAAACGTAAAGAATAATTGCCTCTGAAGTGTAGTGGAGTATAGTATCTATATATCTTACCAAACTAGTTAGGGAAATAAACTAAAAATGAACTTAAATCATTGCTTTTTCCCTCTAAGTGTATACAGTGTACTCATCTATTTTACAGTCTACACATTCTCTTTCCTCTTTCCTCAGTGGTCCAGAGAATGGACAATGTCACAGAGGGCATGCAGAATTATGGAGGCAAGATCAATGCTGTGGAGACAGACTTAAAGAAACTAGGTAAGTCTTATTAACACTAGATTAGATCTCAAATAAAAATAGTTCTACAATAGCTGGGCATTTCAACTTTGTGCTCAAGGTTGTTTTCTTTTTAATTTCTATTACTGTAACAAAGATATTTTTTGGTGTCACTTTTTCAGATGATCAGGCAGGAGCGAAGTCAGTGAATGCCACAAGTGAAATTAAGACTTTCAAGTCCGATCTGGAGGCATTGCAGAATCAACTGAATGACATTGCTATCAGGGCGACCCGAAACAGAGACATGTTGGATGATCTTCGTATCACAGGAGATGACATGCAAAATGGCCATGTCTCGCTGCAGAGTTATCTTGAAGGCAACGCTGCCTCACTGCGTGGGGTCAACCAGACCTTAGCCTCCTACAGTGGAATGATTGACGACCTCCAGTCAGACACTGCACGGCTCCAGACAGAGATACAGGGTCAGGTCAAAGAGCAGAGCCAGACCCAGGTTAGTGTCAGCGCACTAAACATCACCCAGTCCCAGCAGCGCAATCTGCTCAGCACGCTGCAGAAGACGGTGGAAGATGCAGGCCAGGCGGTGCAGAAACTGAAGAATGACTATCAGGGTCTGCAGCAGACAGCCCGGCAGACCCGGGCTGACACTGAGTGGCTGAAGGAAAAGGTGCAGAATCTCCAGGTTTTGGCAGCCAACAACTCAGCCCTGGCCCGATCTAACGGAGAAGCTCTGGATGACTTGGGGGCTCAGCTGAGCACATTAGTGAGCCAGATCCAGAACGCCTCAGCTCTCACTGAGGGGCATGACCAGAGCCTGCGTGAGCTGATGGACCACCAGAGAGACCACGATAACTCCACCTCATCTAAGTTTGATGAGATGGAAGCACGATTAGACAGACATGAGAATGACATGGACCGAGTGACTGGGAACGTGAGCTTTGCCACGCAGCTCCTTGGTGCAATCAGCTCCGACCTGAATGGCCTGAGGACCTGCGCAGAGACGGTGATGCGACATTCAGACCTGTTACTGGGGCTGAACGGTAGTGTGACAGAGGCCATGACCGAGAGCAAAGAGCTGCGCGCCCAGCAAGATGACCTGACAACCAGGTTGGACAAAGAGGTCAGCAACCTTTCTATGGTGATGCAGGAGATGAAGCTGGTTGACAGCAAGCACTCACAGCTCATCACTAACTTCACCATCCTGCAGGGTAAGAACAGAAGATTTGGTGTGTATCCTGGAAATAGTTTAAAAAATAAAATAAAATCAGGTCATGGGGGGTTTATGGGTTTTGATTTAAAGGTCCAGTGTGTAGGATTTAGTGACATCTAGTGGTGTAGTTGCAGATTACAACTACCTTGTTTCACCATCCCCTTCCAAGTGTGAAGGAGAAACTACAGTGGCCACAAACATGCAAAATGCAAACGCCCCTCTAGTGTCAGTGTGGGATTTGTCCTTTCTGGGCTACTATAGAAACACTGTGGTTGAACATGGCGGACTCCATGTAAGATGACCTGCATCTATATATAAAAACAACTCATTCTAAGGTAACAAAAACCCAATGATTCCCAGATTCAGGTGATTATACACTAATGAGAACACATCTCATATAAATTAAAGTTGTGATTTAATTATTGTAGGTATTACTCTCTAAAATATCACGTACAAGTGCCTTAAGGGACCCCTTTTCTTTCATTGAGTAAAGTGATGACCCCTCACTAAGTGACATATTTTATGTTATATTCAACACATACAATACAACTGATAAACTGAACAATGAGCCCAAATAGAGAATGCAATAACTGCAGGAAGTTTGTGTAAATCAAGCAATTTGGAAGAATTTTGAGCATTTGTTTTTAGATTATTTCCTGTGAATACCGCATTACAGATGAGTTTTGTCTGATATTTTGTAGGATTTCATAATTTTTTTATTTTTAACAATCAAATTACAAATTCAGTGTTTTCTTCTCCTTGATACTTGGCCATTGTTCTAATGCATGACGACGCTGTTTAACAGTGAGTAAAGGCTCTGTGAATATATATATATATATATAATTATTTAAAGTTTGAATTATTATTTAAATAATATTTTTAATTTAGTTTCCTTCACATTAATGAATACAATTCTGAGATATGTATATTTTAAAAGTTGTCATGCATCCCTTAAAATCAAAAATGCTTCACGACCCCCCAGGGAAGATTTGGCAACCCCTAGTGGGGGTCCCAACTCCCAAGTTGTGAACCACTGCTCTAGTACAAAATTATATTTACCTGAAAATACAATTACAAGAGAGTACAAGTACAAGAAATATGTGATATGTTTTTCCTGAGAAACTGTCATACATTGTCCACTCATCTACTGTTTTCATGTTTCAGGTCCACCAGGTCCAAGGGGCCCCAGGGGTGACAAGGGTCCCCAGGGACCAGTGGGCCAGTCAGGACAAAAGGGTGATAAAGGAGACAAAGGGGTGCCAGGGTTGGTGGGACCTAAAGGAGAGAAAGGTGCCGCTGGATCACCAGGTGCAACAGGGCCAAAGGGTGCAGCCGGGCCTCGGGGTCTTCCAGGTGCTAAAGGATCGAGAGGGTCTGGAGGTCGACCTGGAAGCCCTGGTGAAAAAGGTGACCCTGGGGCTCCGGCACTTCCTGGTAGGGATGGACAGCCAGGGATGCCAGGACCACAAGGGCCACAGGGGCCTAGAGGAGCAACAGGACCTATAGGGTTGGAGGGGCCTCGTGGGCCAGTTGGACCCATCGGTCCTCCCGGTCCTCCAGGGCTTCGAGGGATACCTGCATCTATACCTCCTGAAATATCAATGCCTCTTCTGCCCGCTCAGGACCCTGAACCCCCCAAACCAACTCATCCTACCAAACCAGCAGAGGAACCACAAGGCTCCGTGTCCCGACAGGTCCAGCTCCCTGTGGAAACCACGGCAGCACCTAGTGAGTTAAACGGTTACATTGAGGTAGAAAATAGACTGTTTTTACTTTCATATTGTAATATAATGTAAATGATTCCTTTCAGATTGCCCACCTGAGTTCAGAAGGTTTGGAGACAGCTGCTACTACTTCTCCTCTGGTTCTCAGAGACTCAACTTTGACGAATCCAACCAGTTTTGTACTAACATTTCATCTCTGATGCTCATTATTAACGACAACGAGGAACAGGTAAATTAAATTAGGCCCTGATAGTTACTTTAATGCATTCACTGACTTTAAGGAATTAGACAAACAATCTTATAAAATAAGTTTGATGTGTTTTTTCTAAACTAATTATCCTGTAAAATATATTTTATTCTTCTCTCCGTAGCAATTTGTGAGAAATGCAATTGCAGGAAAAGGCTACTTCTGGCTGGGCCTTACTGACAGGGAGGAGGAAAATGTCTGGAAATGGGTGGATGGAACTATACCTGTTTTCAAGTGAGTAAACCAGCTAAATTGTTTTGCAGCGAATATATAAATATGTTTTTTTAGCAAACAACAAGCTTCTGTGGGTGTAACTAATAAACACCATGTATGATGCTCGGACTTTGATACATATTATATATGTTGTTGCCATCAGGAAGTGGAAGCCTGGCCAGCCTGATAACTGGACTCATGGCCACGAAGAAGGCGAGGACTGTGCTGGCCTTATCCATAATGCCAACTGGAATGATTTCTACTGCACCGACCGCATCGGTTTCATCTGTGAACGTGCCTCTGACTGTCAGTACTTTCAATATATCAGACTCAAGTCCATTCATTCCTGCTTAGTTATTAATCAGTATTTCAATTAATTGGGCCAATTATCTGGCACTTTGAAATAATCACCATCGGCCCGAAGCCTGCACTCACAAAGCCGATAAACAAAACATGTCTGCAGACACATCAGCAGGCAGCCTTGTCAATGTGACTTCTGTGGAACTGTTACAGAGGTAATCTAGTGAACCTAGGTGAAGACACAGAAGGGGAGGCAGTATGGAGGTATATGGGTATTTATTGCAAAAACCAAGTCTGAGGATGGGTGAGTGGAGCTGAAGCAGATGGTTCAGGGCTGAGTGGGGCAGAGGGTGCACATTCAGAGTCCAAAGAAATCCAAACTGAACGAGCAGGTGACCGAAGAGGGGAAGATGGTAGGCAGAGTTGTAAATGATCCTAGCCGAGTGGATGGAGCAGAGGCAAGAGACAGGGCTAGCAAAGCTGTGAGAGGAAACAGAGAGTTGAATTAATCAAAATACTAACAGTCTGGCATGTAGAAAACACTAACTGTGAGCAGAGTCTATGAAGAGAAGGTGGAGATTCTGCTTTACTGCATCGCACCAACAGTCACAAAAAAAGAGAGAGAAGAAACTGAAGCTGATGTCCCTTAGAGACAGATCTAACAGATTTAAGAAATATTCTCTTTGTGTTACTAACTGACCAAAGGTGTGTCTGCATTATTCTGTGGTGCAATATTTTTACCTGTGTGTAGTTTCCTATTACCATTATAATAAGGTTGCAGAGGACCACGTTATTACTGTTGCTGTAACTGTTAATGTATCAGCCTGTATGCACATCTTAGAGGTGTTAAAATGTACCTCATGTGTTTTAATTGTTGTTGTTCTCTTCACAGTGAAAGTTCCAGAATTATAGCATCCATCTAAGGCAGTGTGAGCTGTCTCTAGGAGAAAGGTGAAGAGGCTGAAGTTGAGGTTGAAGATGTGAGGATAATGAAGGACAAGAGGAGGAGCTCTGGATGACTAGAAGACTCTGATAAAGCCAGCTCAGTCGAGCATCACTGAGACTTGGACTAATGTCTTTAAGGCACTTTACAACACAGTATGGTGCAAAAGACAGCATGCACAGACCCAGCCCACTATTGTATTGATTTAGTATTTGTACTGATGGAAACATGAGAATGTAGGCATTTATTTAGGCTATACTAAGTCATTATTTGGTGCAGCCACTGTTGTACAGGCGTATCTGTAAATAATATTCCACAGAAAAGATAGATTTCTGGAGGGTGGGGGTGAATTTCATATTTTCATATATTTCATATTTTCTTTCTTGGCTACCTTCGCAAACTTTCACACCCACAAAAAAAAAAAATCTATATGAGAGGATTTTGTTGTTAATAGAGTGGAATTATTTTTATATTGTAAGTACGTCACAGATTCAGAGCTGTGATTAGAAATAAGCTCCCAGTTAAATGATGAGAACCCACCTATCATCAGCAAATGACTGCAAACTGAGCTAAAAAAAGCTAGTGTAAATTTCACCGTCATCAAAATGTATTTTTTGTTTTTGTTTTGTTTTAAGAATAGGTGCTCAGTGTGAGCAGTGCTGCTGTTTTATGAAGGACAGTATTTCTTAGATTTTAGACTGCCAGTATGAGTTTTATACAGTATGAGGCACACATTAACAATATGTAAAAAAAAAAGTTGTAATGTAGCTATCATATGATGATTTATTCATTATGCCAAATCAAATATGTGAAATATGTAACATGTTTTTAATTTGCATAATCAGTTGTTGTTGTTGTTGTTGTTTGATTGACATCCTCCAGTTCATATAATGCTTAAAGATTGAGTAGCAGTTTGTAATCTGGCTCAAGGCTCATTAAGCCTTAATGAAATTACGTTAAGTTCCTATGGATCACAATAAAATGGGAAAGAAACTGTGTGTGGAGTCGATGCTTTTTGTCCTGTGAATTATTGTAATAAATGCGTTGAGATCATATAGCATAAAAAGCCACCACTGATAATTTACAATTAGCTACATCGTACCTGATGGAAAGGATTTACTCACAGACAGAAAGCGTTTGTAGCTTCTAGGAAAACGAAATTAAATTAAATAAAAATTAAAGGAAGGGTACATTTGGTTACCCAGATTTACTTGCAGCTGTAGCAAGCTTTTTCTTTTTTGTTAACAAAAGGATAATATACAAATAAAATACAAAATAAAACAATGTCAGCACATACAAAACAAATATAAATGTCATAAAATACATATATGGAACATAATGTGAAAATATTAAAACAGGGAAATCTCTCATAGGTAGTGGTTTAGAAAATGTCTGTGAATAAACAACTTTACATATATAACAATTACATTTATGAAATATTCAAGGGCTCCATCATCTGGGTTATTTTAGTATCTGTCCAAGTTTTCTGATACATTTTTTATCAAAAAGCACATGAAATTTTGTTTCTGTATTATATTTAGAAAAGGTGCAAGAAAAAATTCTGTAAACATAGCTATTTAAAAAAAAAAAACTTGAATGTGCTTCCTTTGCCTTATTGTTTGAGTTACAAAGTACAAGGTCCTTTATTTTGTCATTATACAACACAAGTTTGCACAAGGAAAAGAAGGTTGTAGTTCATTGATGGTGCACACACAAAGGACAGAACAGATGCAATTAGGATAACATAAAATAAATAAAACAATAAATATAGACACAGCTGTCCAATTTTCATGAGTGGAAAAGAAAGTAAGTATAAGGAATAAGGGCTAGTATTGTTTCTTCTGTGGCTGATGTTATTTCCATAATGATACTTATGATCAGAAGTTAAGTGTGTTGAACAATGTGCAAATATTATTGGCCCATTTTTGTTAAATATGCAAGAGTAGTCTTACATGTCACTGTTTATAACACGGGATGTTTATCCTTTACTGGATAGGCTGCTTTAAAAAAAAAAAAAAAAAAAGGCACAACTACACTGCCTGTAATGACAACATGGTTTCATCCACTTTGAGTACTTAAAAGTCTATTTCTATGAGTTTATTTTTTCAATTTGAAACCACCAGAAAAAACAAACAAACCTCTACAGTTGTTTATTCTTTCTGAGGGTGTATATCTGTGGATCCATCCAACATGAGTAAAGGCTCTGCTACATCATTCCCACCATCAGTACCTCTTGTAGTCAACGCGATGAGGTAACATCACATGATCACCATCACCTGACGATGACATGTTATTTTTTTTATTTATTTAAAAAAAAAAACAACATCAATTTGTAGCTCACGGTTCATTTCCTCCCCCGGTTGCAGTCAGTCTCAGAAGAACAACCGCACGAATGTGAAATATCAAACAACATTTTAATGACAGCAGCTCATTTAACACGGGCTTCAATTACCCACAATGCCTCGCTTGTTGCCGTCCGGCGGAGGAGTGACTGTGTAGAATAGATCCAGCTAACATTTTGACATTCATGAAGTTGTCGTTACTATGCATTTTTATTGTATGAAATAAGACACAAGAGGGACAGAACATAACAGGGGAAGGCGAAATCTGTCGTTGTCAACCCACCAGCGATGCCTCTCTTCACCACCAACCCATTTGACCAAGATGTTGGTGAGTAATCAGGACTGGGGGCTATTTCTAGCAGGCTAGCTGAAGTAGCTTCGAGCAGTCAGCTTTGTTTGTGTTCCCCCAGCTGTCTTTAGCTTCACCCCCCTTTTTTTTAGAGCTATACGCATAATGTCATTTGGTTGTCTTGCTGTGTGTATTGCAGGCTGTACAAACTGACAAGCTGTTGTCCATGTTGTTGTTGTTGTTGTTGTTTTTTTTGTATCCTTGTGTTTGTTGTGATTCGCTCAGTTAGCCACAGTTTGGCTAGCTAGCTTGCAAAAAAAAAAAAAAAAAAAAACCCTCTCTCATATCTTATATGGAGGTTTTAGGTCAGCTAGCAAAGCAAAGCAGGTACGATTGTGATGATAGCAACCAGTGAGCCTTCATGTTTCCTGTCAGATGTATCCTGTTGAAGTCACGGTTTATGTAATGTGGGTAACTGTGAATAGACGTGGGGCTCAGGTGCTGTCATCAGAGGATTGAAGTAACGTTAGCTCGCCATCTGCCTCATCATTGCCTTTCTTTTAAGCCATCGTCTGCGGGCTAACTGGGATGATGAGCCTGACATCTCGCAGTTATTGCGAGTGAAAGAGGATGCGGTGGTGTGTGAAACCATAAAGTCACTCTGGGTTTCCTCTTTTTCTTCTGTGTCGAGTGGTTAACCACTTCATTAGCATGTGTACAGTGTGCAGGGGGGACCAAAGTACACAAACACCTCATTATACTGTTATTATTATTATTATTATTATTATTATTACCTCTAAACCAGCAGTAAATGCTAGTTTTGGTAAAGCTGTGTATGTTTGGGCTGGCGGGTGTTATTTCATCTTGAAAGGTTTTTTTTTTAGGCTGTTTTTGTATAAATGTGTTGTTGGATGTCTCTTTTAGGCAGTGTTGGTGATCTGCTTGTAAGTAGGGGTTAGGGATATAAACAAGGTCATTTAATATTACAATGTCTGTATGAATCTTAAGAAAAACAAGTGAGAAGTGTGAAAATATACAGATTCCTGTCAGGATATTTTTTCTTTCTCTAGCCAATTCAGCGAAGTAAACCCCCTAAAAATCAATGTACTTCCTCACGTTGATGTAATAATGATGTAAAAATCCAAAATCCACGATACAACAAGAGATACTGAACACATACGTAGCTCCATCATACTCCCACCCCGACATGTGACCATGTTGCTAGTGCAGTTTTTCAGTGTTAAGCATTCACTTCAATATTACTAAAGCAGCTAAACACATGGGTTATATAGTTGGATAGCAGTATGTGTCAGCTTTGTTTCTTGAGGAACAAGGCAAGACAAGTGAAGTACAGAGAGGCTTGATAGTGATACTATATTTACCGCATTGACTGCTGCTCCATCTGTAAAATTTTGTAATTTGAAAAGAGGAGAAATGGTGACGTTTGCCAAAGACGGGGAACTATACAATGGTAAAGAGGAACTTTCACCACTATTGAATCAAAGACACTAGTTGGTATATTTCTTAACAGCATACGCTACAATAACTGAAACAAACTTAAAGTTACATCAATACCTCCAAACAGTCTCAACACAAACCAAACAATATGAGCTTCCTCAGATTGGTATTTACTGCAGGGCTGTTGTATTGTTTGGGCTTCTGCTGTTTTGTCTGGATCTCTCTCTGATGTTTTGCTCATTTGTATGATTACAAATCAAAGAGGCTTTTTTTTGCAAGCGTTAACCTTCTGCTTCCATTGGTTGTTGTGTTTCTTTCCTGCAGAGAAAGCAACCAGTGAGATGAACACAGCTGAGGACTGGGGCCTCATTCTGGACATATGTGATAAGATAGGGCAGTCACGCACTGGGTTAGTTAACTGTCTTCATACTAAACCTGACACACATACACATTTAGCTGGATTGCAAAGCAGTTAATCTCTTTTAAACTTTTGATTTCTGTCATTCTGCTGCAGGCCTAAAGAATGTCTCCGCTCTATAATGAGAAGAGTGAACCACAAGGATCCCCATGTGGCCATGCAGGCACTGACTGTAAGCAGAGCGTGAACAAACAAGTCATGTTGTCTTCTTGTCATCTACCCTTAATTAACCAGCTTTATTCTGTGATAAGCTATATCCCAATGTGTGCCAAATGTTTGTTTCATGTTGCGATGGAATAAACAGTGAGTCTGATCAACTGTGTGTACCAATGTCATCACAGCTCCTTGGTGCTTGTGTCTCAAACTGTGGGAAGATATTCCACTTGGAGGTGTGCTCCAGAGAGTTTGCCAGTGAAGTCAGTAACGTCTTAAACAAGGTATATCATTTTTTACCATTTTGTCCATGTAAAAAACAGATTATTTCTGATTACTTGAAATTGGATCCTGCAACATCCAGTTTCTTGTTCTCACGATGGGCTATTTTAACCATTGTCCCCAGGGCCACCCCAAAGTGTGTGAGAAGCTGAAAGCCCTGATGGTGGAGTGGGCAGAGGACTTCCGCAACGATCCCCAACTCAGTCTGATCTCGGCTATGATCAAGAATCTACGCGAGCAGGGCGTCACTTTCCCGGCTGTAGGGTCCCAGGTAGGCGTATAGAGGAGGATATGCTGGGTTTGTTTTTATTTTTTAGCATACTCGGTGTAAAAGGTGCATTTTCAAATTGCTGTATTTAGGGGACTCTTTGTGGACAACTGGTTAAAATACCAACTGAACAGGCTGTTGTTGCATGTCGTATTCACGTTGTTACTGTCTAATAAACACAAACTATCATCAAATTATCTACGAAAAATGTTTACTGTAATTAGGGAATTTGAGGTTGTTTTGCTTAAACATTAAGACCCATATTTGTCCTTTCATTCTTCTGTTGACTCACCTGAGCATGCGATGATTATTTTTTCACAGGCTGCAGAGCAAGCAAAAGCAAGCCCTGCTTTAGTGGCAAAGGATCCCTCCACCTCAACAAACAAAAAAGAAGAAGAAGACTTGGCCAAAGGTAAGAAAGCTTTCCCCCGATGTAAATAGAGAATATTTGAAGAGGAGTTATCCTTAAAAACATGCACACTAACTAATTTAATTCTTTATTTACGTTGCATAAATCACTTGTTTACGCTGGATAAATGAATTGCAGATGTTGAGCAATATTTAAGGACTCTCAAGGGCAAAGGCATCATTTCACTGTCTCTGTCTCTTTTGTGTGCAGCTATTGAGCTGTCACTGAAGGAGCAACGTCAGCAGCCGCAGACCTCCCTGTCGAGCCTTTACCCGAGCACCTCCAGCCTGCTCTCTTCACACAAGTCCGACGGCAGGAAAGTCCGCGCCATCTACGACTTCGAGGCCGCTGAGGACAATGAGCTCACCTTCAAGTCGGGAGAAATCATCACTATCCTGGACGATAGGTGAATTTTTACACGCACAAATAATAAGTGGGTAAAAGCAGCGCTCAAGGATTTGTCAAATAACTGAGAGGATTGAGGGCAGCTAGGTTGTATTCTGAGTTGGGTGAGCATTCCTTGTTAAGCATCTGGCCTGCTGAATGCCCTTGAGCAGAGGACTGAATCTACCAGCTCAAAAGAAAAATACCCCTCCAAGTATAACTTTATTATATCTCAACCAATTGTGACGAACAGCCTCTGGGTTCTGTGACAGTTTAATGGAAAACTGTGTATCTCTAAAATGACTTTTCATGAATTTATGTAAAAAAAACCTGATGTTTTGAAGAAACGGTGCAAATTAACTAGTGAAATAATCTCCTTATCTAATCTGTTGAATCTTTCATATGAGATTTTAATGCAGAACTGAGAACATAACAACTTAAATCTGTATTGAAGTTTCTGATTACTTGAGGGTTTTCCTTTTTTTTTTCAGTGACCCCAACTGGTGGAAAGGGGAAACATACCAGGGAGTGGGGTTGTTCCCTTCTAACTTTGTCACAGCTGACCTTACTGCAGAGCCTGAGATGAGTGAGTACACACACGCACACATACACAAAACACACCCTTTATCCACTTACGCCCTCTCTTGTTCTTTCATAGCCTATTTAGTCCATTAGCACTACTGCTTTATTGATCCTAGAGTACTTTTATTACTTACTAACGGCTGGTGAAACAATATAAAGAACACAGTACAATCAAGACATTGGTTGCATAGACAGAAAATCATCAGTTGGTTGTCCCATGCAATAAAAAAACAACACTGCCTGTACTTCTGGGAAGTCTCTGATAGCATTTTGGACACATTTCCTCTTATTAGAGAGAGCTTTATACAACCTTTTACATATTTTATACTGATACAAGAACTTTTAGTGTCTGCCGTATTACAGAATATGTTTCCTTCTATAATTGCTGACCTGTTAATAACCAATTTAAATGCTCCTCTTCATAGCTCGTAGTATGATCCGTTCCCTTTTTAAATCAGCATGCATTCAAGATCTCTTTCCTTGCTGCCTGAATGCATTCTACAGTGTTTGGCCTGTGTGTCCACTGGCATCACTTTTTACAAAGTAAACTCTCATCTGTGTGCAGTTGCCTGCCAGTTGTGGTTATGCTTCAATTTCAGCTCTTTTTAAAGGTTTACTTTAGGTGCATGTATTATGTTCAACAAATTGTCAAAACCTCACAGAAAGGCGTTGATCATCTAGCATAATAGATTCCATGGTTTTCACTGTTATCAGCTTTGCTTTGTTGCCGTCTGGCGGGAGTTTGTCACGCTTCTTAATTACATCCAAGTGTTTGTTCTACACGTGTGTCATCCCTCAAATCACTGATTCTGCATGCGTGCATTCTCTTATTTTACTTTTGTCCCCCATTACCATAAAACACTTTCCCTCAGGAAACATGGTAACAGCTTATGACCTGTAAACTAAACAAATGTGAACATGTCTCTTCAAGGCGATCAGTCAATAGCTTGTATCAGATTGTAATCTTTTGTGCTACTGTCAGATCGTTGCTGGATGTCAAGTCAGCTGACCTCTCATTTGTGTTTAACTGATTGCTACTGTTGCATTGTTTTGCTGCTACCGCACCCGCTGTTACTTGGAAATCTACAGTGAAGACAGAGAAGAAGACAGTACAGTTCAGTGAGGAGATTCAGGTGGAGACCATAGAGCCCGAACAAGAACCGGTGTATATAGACGAGGTAAGTTCTCTTGTGGGAACCCTTGCTTATGAAACTTGTTCAGCTTCATTGACATCTCACTGTTGCATTCAATAAATAAATACTTTTGTTCTAAAATAAGAGTCTGGCATTTAAAAATCTTCAACTGCTGATAAAATGAGACATAACAAATTCAAATATCATAGACTAACATAGAGTAGGTTTTCTTTTTTTAGAAAAATAAGTGAAATCGTCACATTTACATGGAAAGTGTCAGAACACTTTATTGAAAATCTTTCAGGACAAAATGGACCAGCTACTGCAGATGATCCAGAGTGCGGATCCCACAGACAACCAGTCAGACAGCGTTGAGTTACTACAGTTGGAAGGTAAACTGCTTTAAGGGTTAAAGTGAATGTGAGTTAGGCGCCCAGTTAGCTCACCTGGTAGAGCTGGCGACCATGTAACAAGTCTTTGCTGCAGCGGCCCAGGGTACGAATCAGACTTGTGGCCCTTTGCTGTGTGTCATCCCCTCTCTCTGCCCCCCTTTCCTGTCTGTCTGCAGCTGTCACTATTGATGAAAGGCAATAAAAGATGAAAAGAAAAAAAAAAAGTGAATGTGAGCTAGACAAAAGTCAGTGGTAGTATACAGAAGCTAATCTGGCATGATTTAGGTTTATAAAAGTGGATTGATGTTAACTACAGACGTCTATTTGTTGTATTTTTCCTCAGGTGCCTGCAATCAAATGGGACCCCTCATTGACCAGAAGTTGGAGGATATAGACAGGTATGGTGTGCTGGCTTGTTTTGCCCACAAAAAAAACTACAGAAGGTTTTAACACAAGGAAAAGGGAAGAATTTAAAGATGAATATTCCAGACAAAGACATGTAACACTGATTAATTCAAGCTCTCCATAAATATTTAAACAAATGTATCTTTCTTTGTGTGTGTGTGGGTTTGTATCATCAGGAAGCACTCAGAGCTGTCAGAGCTGAATGTGAAGGTGATGGAAGGTCTTTCTTTGTATGCCAAGCTAATGAATGAAGATCCAGTCTACGCCATGTACGCCAAGCTGCAGAGCCAACAGTACTACATGCAGCAGCAGCCTGCCAGCGCAGCACAACAGGTACAGTCAACTTGTCATAGCTCGGACCCAGGCATACCAAAGGAGTGAATGTTTTGAGTGAATTTTCTGTGCTAGCAAAATTGTGAATGTGCACAATTTCATAGGTTTTAAAGGGGCAGTTTCCTGTTTAACTGAAAAAAAAAATTTTTCTTTTTCAGTAGAAGGATTAACAAGGGTAACCGTGTTTTATTCAAGTTGTTGCTTTTAAACCTTTTCAAATGTATGTTCTGGGACCAAGAATGTCATTGTGCACCGCCGTATTGGGCTGAACTACAGAACTAATCTCATAAATCAACCCAAAACTACCAAAGAAATGCACCCTTTTGAGAAATGCACCCTGCTATAACATTAAAAGAATGAACAACTGTGCTTTTTGCAAGGATTTGGAGAATTCAGTAATTGTAGGATTTTACCCACTTGCTATTTCACCATGGTACTGATTTGAATATTTATATACTTTCCACAGACTCACTCCAACATTAACACTCAGTACGTGCTCTGTGCATGTTTGTGATTACAGGTCTACCCTGGTCAGCCTGCATCAGGTTCGTATGCCATGAGTAGTACTGCGGTGCAGGGTTACACTGTTCCCATGGAGCAGCTTCCAGCTGGAACCCCCATACCTGGTCAGCCTGCACCCGGGTGAGTTTCACAGACCCCAGTGGCTCGTTATTCTGGTCCAATAAAGAACATTACAAGTTGTTGACATTATCAAACTTTGCTGTACATTGTGTCCTGTATTTACCAAAGAAAAAAAGACAATTTAAAATGGCAAAACACTTTCTCATTTACCTCTGTACTTTGTATTTTCATCTACAGTGCATTTACCCATTTACTAATTCCATGAAAACCTAGTACTGTAAATTCTCAAATAGTGGCCACAACTTTTATTTACCCCAACTGATTTCTCATCTTCTCCCTTTTTTTGCTCTCAATGCCAACTCCATGCTTCTTTCATCACCTGTTGTCTTGATAAATTCAGTATAATCTAAATTTACAGCAGTAATTTCTCACTACACCAACAGAGTCACATCAAACTCACCACTCTGCTGCTCCAGGTATCGATTCTTCTAACAAACATACTGTTCATTCTGATCATTCTCAAACTGTGAGTGATGCTTCCTACACATTTTTAACATTTAAAGCCTCCCAGCATCTGAAAAGGCTTTTAAATTTGAACATTTGCAGAAAGTGGTGAGTTTTATTTATAATAACTTAACATAGTTCAAAATCAGCACACTAGCATTTTGTGACTTTGCAATTGAAAACAGTATTTGTGTTAAAAACCGGAATTCAGAGCAGCAGATTGGTAAGACATCAGTGTGTTCTTGTATGCTGTAGAAATATAATTAAATTACAGGTTAATTCCAGGCCCCTTAGTGTTACCCGGTCTTTATTAGCTGCTGGCCTGCAACTGGCTATTCATTTGAGATGTTATTTGAATAATTGCCTTTTTATTAGAGAGTTTACGGTAAATATTATAAATGTTTCCTTCTGCCTACTACTTAAAGATTCCACATTGCTGTAGTGTTGTAATGAATGTTGCTTCACTCTTTTCCGTAGTGACGTTCATATGTACATGGGCCAGCCGCCAGTCTACAGTGCAGCTCCAGGCAGCATGGCCCCAGCAGACGTACAGTCCTACCAGAACCCAGCCAGCGCCCCAGGCCCCACTCACGCAGGCATGACGCAGACGCCAAACTACAGCACCCCCTCCGGCCTGAGCATAGCACCTTCCTCAGACCACTCACAGGCCCCCTACTCAGAGAAAGCCTTGCTATAGGGCCCCCCCCCTGAGCTCACTGTAATCCTCACGCATACACCTACACCAGACCTGATCAAATAGTGGTCGTAGATAATTTCGTTTATTATGTTTTATAATTAGTTTTATCGTGAAACACCAGATGGATGGAAAAATGCAAATAGAGTAGACTTAACCTTAAAAAAATATACAGTTACACTTCTAACTCAAGGTTTTGGAGTGATCACGAGGGTTTGATTTGAAGAGCTCTCACCAAGCCACACATGGTCTGTAAATGGACACACGTGTTCTTTTAGGACTTTGTTTAATTGATCATGTTTCTGCTTTTCTCCGTGCCGTTACATGACTCAGATGCGAAAACGCGAGGCGCTTTCAGTCGCACTTTTATCTTCAGTTGCACTTTTAGTCATCATTCAAGCCTGATCACTTCAAAATCTAGATCTGATAGCAATATATGCATTGTCCTTATATATGTACGAGACCTGACATTTATGGCTTCCTTTTTATAATAGGACTATTGGAAAAAATGATGGTAATGCTTTAGTTTATGGGACCAATATTTTAAAATAATTTTGTAGGAAGCTTCTTGGAAAAAAATACATAGTTTAGAACAAATTATAGGGGAAGGTAGTTAGGAAGTTCTTTTAGTTTGGCTTAAGGTGAATTTATAAGCAGTTGTTAATGAAAAGGAAAACTCTATTTAAACCCAAGAACCCAAATCATTCATTCGTCATTTATTTTTGGAAACTTTATTCTTTATAAAGTATAGATTTATTGAGGTTCAGCCGACCTACTGTGTACTACTGACTCACCAGTTTTTAGCTTACACAAGCAATTGATTTGAATGAATTACTTTACTATATTTTATCTATAATTTAAAAATCCAATCAATTTTTTCCTGGAAACTTCCGAAAAAATAATCAAATCAAATGACGGAGCTCTTAAATAAAACGTTACCAGCATTGCTTTGAGAAAACAAGTGTAACTGTAGCCACTTCAACCAAACCACAAAAAAATATATGCAATTACTATTTGATCAAGTGTGAAATACACACAGACATTCCTTCACACCACCCCTCAACATGCACATGCAGAGCTACACACACAGACACACACACACGATAGTCAAACACACTACAGGCAGGTGTACAGCAGTGGACACAATCACAGTTGCACCAGTTGGCTCACACATACAACAGTATGCGATAATTTACCTTCACTCACACACACTAACATGGAGAGAAATCCACAACCTGCCGTAGCCTTCGCACTCACTTAAAGCAACTGCTAATCAGTTTTTTTTTTTTTTTTTTTTTTTTTTTTTTATCAGAAAAAGGACTTTTAGCGATGCTGAAAACGTTAGGCTACTACATCCTGTATATGTCGTCTACTTTTTAGAAGTACTGAAAACTGAAGCCACTTTGTTGTTTTGGAGGGAAAAGAAACCAGAGGAATTTAAGCATGCACATGACTCTTGTATATACTGTACTGAACTAGTAGTGAAGCCACATGATGACCTCATGGGTGGGCTGTACGTATGTTAGCACAACCCCGAGTGTTTCTCTCAGCCTTAAAGGTGAACTCTGCAGCCATGATGTCCCTGCTGAATTAAAGGTGTAAAAGCCAAAGAGAACAAAGTGAAAAATCCCTCACATGCCAGAAAACAAGATGTATTTTTTCTTTTTTTTTTTTTTTGTAACATGATTGACTCCTTACTTCATACTGCAGAGTTTTCCTTTTTAAAATGAGCAGCTCTAGATCCTTGTTGGTGGATGTAGGGCTTGCTCTGTTTCCATTCAGGGGCTGTACTAACAGACTCGTACCACAGACCTGGCTACTAAGGGGCAAACTCTCTGAACAGCCCCATTGTCTTTTTAAAGCATCTCTTTAGTCAGTGTTGAAAAATGAATACTATAGTTTTTGTAGTGCATTTTAATTTATGTTTGGATTATTGTTATGCTATTTTAAATGGAGAAGCAGTGCAGGATGTATGTATTCAGAGAAAAGCGGAATATGTAATATTCTGCCAGACTTAGTTGTATATTTAAATCGCTCTCATGAGAACATGGACATTTCTCTGTGTTTGATACATGCTTATTGTACTGTAGGGTAAAATGGTAATGTGAAAAACTGATCGAACCTCCCCATGCATTTCAAACCTGTCCTTTTCTCAGAGGTGTGTTACACTAAAACAAATTCTACCTGAAGCAGAAATGAAATGAGGTTCCTATGATTCTGGAAAGTGCAGTCAGGATTTGTAAACACCTCTTTTTCCCCAAGATCTCCTTTTGCTATCCGTTACAGTGACACTTTGAGGCATTTCAGATCAACTATTGATCCGAAATACCAAACATGCTCTCCATGTTACTACATACTTTAAATACTACATGTTTTTGTCTTTTGGGAAAGAGCTGATGTTTACAACTCCTGATTGGATTGCAAAAAAGCTGATGAAACAGGAAAATATTTTATCTGTTGTTGTATAATATTGAATGATGCTACATGAAGGAATAACAGTTTTAAATAGTTTAAACTACATTTTTCAGTTGCAGGGCAAATTGGTGTGTTGATCTGACTGTAAATTTGTGTTATTTCAATTTCTCTTGAAATACTAGGTCTCAAATGTGCTCCTCCTTGTCATCCCTGTGCCGCCTTAAGAATATAAAAACAACCCACAATTTAAGCTTGGTATCTGGGACTTTGCTCACAAGAGGTAATTTGATTCCCCTGGAAGTTGATTTTGGCATTAATACAGTTGATTGATTATTCTTTTTTGCTGCCTTCAACTAAATGCAAGTGTTAACCTGTTGGATCAAAGAGGGCTGAAAATATCAAAAACACAAAAGTAGCAGCTATTCTGGGACTACGGGACCAGGAGCCAGTAAATCGTCACACATCATCAAAATGTAACATCTTGTTGCGCCACAGTGGTGGACTGCAGCCCCGATGTAACTTTATTGCACAGGATTGAGATGCTGCCTGTTTTTAAGTTTTAAAAACATCATTATTGTAAGATTTCTGTCTAAACTTGTACCCTGCTGTTTGTATGTATTCTTTTAACCATACTTATTAATTGATATTCACAATAAAACCAGGCCAAATGTACAGAATAATATGAAAGGCCTTGTTTTCTTGTTTCTCTTGTTTTTCGAGCACTTTGTGGATAGATTAAGTGTTTTTATTTTGTTATATTTAACAGAGTTTCACTGATTAGAGGCATTTTCAGGAGTTTTTAAAGGCCCTGAAACTATTTATATTTTCAGCTTTCACTCTTGAGCGATGGGTCCTACGTGAACGCACTTTCTTAGAACAGCTTCGGTTATTTCTGCTTTTCTCAGTTGTCATTTCCATGACAGTTTTTGGGTTGTTTGCTTATGTTGCTAGTCCACTGTCAGTCAAATCTGATCAACCCACACAGTCCTGATGAAGCAGATTAACTAAGTTTTTGAGTCTTATTATACACTCAATTGCCACTCTAGCTAAAACTACATCCTTCAAAATAATCACACGGGTGAATCAACAACAGTTCCAACTAAAACTGAACATTATAACCTGTGTACTGTTTGTTAGATGTAGCTAGCAACTGTGTAACATTCTAACTGTCTAACAATACTTTTATGTTTACGCTAGAAAAATATTTATCACTTGATACCAGATTCCTATGCCTTGCCACTAGATGGAGATCAATGTACTTCACACCTTACAAGATGGAAGAAATTGAATTTTGTAAAGGGCCCAACCAAAGAAGGCAAGGCCGTAGAGCGTGTCACTGCGGTTTTCAAAGTGGTGGGGAATTATTAAGAATTGATTAATTTCACATGAATTTAACACACATTGAATTTTGTTGCAATCCTGCAGAAAGTTTGGAGATTTAAATATCAATTATCAATTATTTTATTTTTCAATTTGGTCTTGATTATTTTATTCACTTAAAAGAACATCGGTTAAAACATACACTGGTCACAATGTAATCGAGCACTTTTTCCAGAACTTGTGTACAGTTCAGAGGAAGGTTCAGGTAGTTTTCTCCTTGAAATGATGGGATAGGAGTGCTCTTCTTTGTGAGCCCATAAAAAGGTGAGCATGACCACCTCATTACCTCAGCAATAAAAGAATACAGCCTCCAGTGCAGTGTAAGCAATGTCAGTGTGCAGAGTCCAACGGCTTGACTGGCTCGTTTTGTGGGAGATGATTGTCAAAGTCTTTCGCTCCGAGCTCAGACCAGCAACTGGAGTTCAGAGACCATGCCCTCTGGGAAGACGGTCAAGCTCATCCTGTATGAGGTGCTGCAGTTTGCAGCCCTTACCGTACCCATCTTTGTGGTTATGGAGAGGTTTGCCATCCTCATACGTGATGTGAAAGGACAGGATCTAACGGCTTACTGGCTAGTTGTGGCGACCTCTATCGCCTATGTGACCTCTGTGACCCTCCTGGTGTGGGTTCCTCTGAAGTATCTGATCCTGAAGCGGAGGACGTTCGTCTCAGAGATCACACAGTGGTGAGTACAGCTGTGGGGAAGTGGTTTAGTCAGTGTGACAGTGATTAAGTATCTACATGTACCAGATAAAGAATCTTACCTAAAACACATGGGAGATGACAGAGTGAACAAAGTCAGATTGACTGTAGAGCACAAATCCTTGGAGGCAAATTTGGGATGTTGGGCCAAGAAACTTGAATAACAGTGAAGTTAGTGGAAGAAAAAACGGAGGCTCAGTATTATCAGAGCAAAGTATCAAAAATGAAAGTGTGATGCAAAATGAACCCTGGAGTTAAAATGGTTGCTTAGCTAATTGTAACTACTTTATATTGTCCTGTTAATCTTTAACAAAGCATCATATTTCATATGTTTTGTATGTATAATTTTAAAGTGAGCCTATGCAACGTTTAAAACAACAATGTTCAATTCTATACACTCAGCACGGAGCAATTATTCATCACACTGGGATGACACGTTATTTAAATGTGAACTAAAACAACCTGTTTTGTTTTCTAGGAGACCAACAGCGCTGGCATATATCATCCTGTGTACATTTCCATGCTTTGCTATTTTAATAGCCAGCTCCAAGGTAATGTCATCCAAAGTGATTGTTCTTGTCACCGAGGGAGCACCTGTTGATATTTTTCTCTGTCATGCTCTGACGGGGTCCTTGAAGAGGCATATTTGTTGTGAACAGTCCATTTGTGGCACAAACTGGTTTTATGGGCCCCTTGTGTAAGAGAATGTGTTTAGAGCGCTATAATTATTCACTGAGTGATGGCTGACACGGCACATTGCACCATAGAGAAAGAAAAAGATTGGCTGTCACCAATTCCACTCAGTCTCTTGAGATTTTGCTTCTTGAAGCTGCATCCAAATATTTTCTCACCATGTACTGAGAAGGACTTTGGCACCATCACAAGTAAAAGAAGAAAAAAAAGACAGAGGAAATGTGTCCAGCATCACAAGACTGTACTCTCTGTCTGGGGTATTCAGTAACTCACAGCGAACATAACAGGTTGGCCATTAACCCAAACTTTAATACCATCCACCACCAATATGCCCACTATATAAAAAAACAAAACAATTATCTTTGCACATATGTGACTCTGCGTAACTATTTTATTTCTGGACAAGCAAAGACATAAATAAGAGTATGTGGCCGCAAAGACTTGTCAGACATACTCATACATTTAATATTTCTTAATCTTGTGTTAAGGGCATTCAGCAGCATCTTAATGTCTGAAATGATGGGGTAATAAAATCAGATAGCTTCATAAAACCTGGAATGCAGGAGCTCCTCTTTCCAGCCAAATGCCATAATGAAGAGTTTTGATTCAGTTTTCTTCTCGCTTCATCCCTCATGATTTCTCAGTGGCATACCAGTTCTTTCTGCTATTGAATTCACATTTAATTTTAATGTGACCGGTTGTACTCTAGGTGCAGGTGGACAGAGGACACAAGCTCGACCAGTTCACTGAGTTGCCCGTTTCCTTGGTGCTTTTCTCCCTCATCTGTGTGGATATCATAGAGAGGATTCGCCCCTGCAAGCTCATCGGACAGTGTAAGTCTAGTAAGTTGTTGGTGTTTATGTAATAACACCGCAAAATGTAATAGTGTCACAATGTAAAAGTTTCACTTCATTATGTAATAACATCCGCATTTTGTAATAAGCAGCCTGAACCCAATATGAAATACATTTTTCCACATTTATAAATAAATTATTACATATTGTATGTGTGTGGCGTTTTACAAAATGTGGGAGTTTTTTTTTATGAACTGCATTTTGAATAAGTGGAAGATTATTGATGGTCTTTTAACCATTGCAGAAGTTAACCCTGCACAAATAAAAACATGAGTTTTTCCAAGTCTGTGTTTGACACGAACTCCCTTAGTTTGGCATAAGATCAGAGTTACAGTTTACAGATGAAGACATCCATATTGTTACATTTTCTTCATAAAAAAAGTTCCACATTTTGGAAGTAACAGCACAATTATTACAAAACATAAGGAAATGTATTACATATTGCGTTCTTGCTATTTATTACAAAATGTGAGTGTTATGACATAATAAAGTGGAAAATCTATTAAATTTTTTAAAGTTATTGCACAATGCTGTGTTATTACATGATGCTAAAAATTAAATGATGTTAAAGTCCATGTCCTGCATTTTAAGTGTTCACGTTTTGTATTGTTTGTTCTGTGGGATAAAATTTCTCAAAGATAAAATTACAGATATTTTGACAAAAGCATGGGTGATGGTTGAGTTCCATTTAGCTGTCCCAGTCTCGGGTTCCTGGTATCGTCCGTGCTGGCTCACTGTCATTACCAGCTGTTAATGTTGTTAGTAACGCCTGTGCTTTGCCTACAACGTCAAGTCAAATTGTCTGCAGTGAAAAGGAGTGAATCATTACAGGTGAACATCTCATGCACGCCTGTAGCGATTTGCCTGGCCTCATGCCTCTGTCATACTGTAGATGGTATTTAGTGGACCAAGTCGGCATTACCAATGCGGTAGGCAACTACAACCTTCCCTCAGCCCCTCAGAGGTCCCCAGGATGTCTGTGTGGCAATTACTTTATGGTAATTTTATTAATTACAAATTTGTTTGGTAATATGCCCCACTGAAGCACAATCAAAACGCAAACACTAAGGTCCCTAAAGTGGCTCCAGCCTTTTTACGCAATCTCGAGGGATTAACACCTTTTAATATTTCAATGAATATTATGTTCACATGGTGCATGTCTTAAACAAATCTGTGTTTGATTAAATTCTCACAAACTAATTAACACACAGTAAACCTGGAGCACAGAACTATTCCAGTGTAGACTTACTGATTGGTTTCTGGGACCCACAAGCAGGGTAATCTGATTACCTGAATGTAGCTCTCCAATATAATCCTACAGCACCATTTCATAAAACACCAACTAACCCGCCAAAAAGCCCCTGAAGCACATATTATTATATTATTTTTTAGCCCACTGATACCTCTTTAACAAGACATCTAAATATTCCTATTTTCAATGCAATCCCTAACTGCGGTAAACTGTCAACTGTGGTAAAACCTCTGGAAAAGAGTCTGATCACTGCAGCTGCCTGCCTGACACCAGATGACAAATCATTTAGTGATGGATTCTAATATTTGAAATGTGATAGTTTGTGTTTGTTGTGATACGTTCTACCAAACTAAAAAGTGATGATTTGCACACACTTAGATCCATGCAATATGTCGCTTTATTTTGAAAGCTTTGGGTCTGTCTGACCTTCATCAGAGCATCTTTTATTTATTTTTTTTGTATGTTCTGATGAAGGTCACATAGAGCGAAAGCTTGTTAAATAATGGGATATATTGCATGGATCTAAGTGTGTGGAAATCTTCACTTTCAGTGTGGACTTCCAGCAGCTTAGGAAAGATTTAGCCGGGGGGGGGGTGAGCGGTCGTCGTGCTGCATTGAGACATTCTACCAAAAATGTTTGTCTCTCGTTAGTGGGGTACTTGGCTTAAAAAGTACTTAAAACTGGGTACATTAATAAAAATACTCTGAGAGAAAGAAAGATCTCAACATAGGCTGAATAATCCTCTCTGTGTGTGTGTGTGTGTGTGTGTGTGTGTGTGTGTGTGTGTGTGTGTGTGTGTGTGTGTGTGTGTGTGTGTGTGTGTGCGCGCGCTTGTCATTTGCAGCAGACAGCCTGGATCCTGACCTTGACATGCCAGGCCCCGTCCTCACCCACCTGGAACATGTGACCACCGTAACAGGCCAGCTGCACACTGATGAAGGCCAAAACGGTTTGACCCAAGGCCACCCAGAGGCCAGGAATGGCAGCACCTCCAGCAGATGGCAGGACCTTCCTGGCTCACCCGGCCACTCAGCACTCAGCTCACGAGCACCCAGCAGGTCCTACCTGTACTCCTCATCCTCGCAACCCAGATCCTACTCTGGTCCTCTGGGCTTCCTGTGGAGGAAGGATGGGAGGTCAGAGGTGTTTGTGGACAGCTTCATGTTCTGGCTAGACACTGTGGAGATGGTGAGAGTGGCAGGGGAGCCAGCGGTCTTCTTCTCAGCCTGGGTTTTCCCCGTCTACATCCTCGCCTTCATGTCTACTCTCCGCATGGTTATCACTCCTAACAACCCTTTATTGTCCTCGGCTGGATTTGCTCTGCAGGACCTTCCTTTCTTTGTCATTCGAGTCGCTTTGATTGTTGTGTTTGGTTATGTGACTCCCGTGTTGTACCCTCTGAAAAATGTGCTGGTGAGCCTGACTTTTATCTACTTTACTTTCCTCGCCAAGCTGAGGATTTTCAGAAGGCACAGCATGTTTTGAGGAGGAGTGGCACATTCTGTTGTTAATGAAGAGTCCGCTTTGATTGTGGATGGTTGAACAGTTGGTATATTTATGTGTTGGGAACGGCAGCGGAGAAACATGATGCTGGTACCGATGATGAAAAACAACATGTTTTGAATTGTAATGGCTGCATTGTAAGGCTGTTGATCCAAATCAAAGTGTGAAAATGATTCTGGATTTAAAACAAAAAAAGGGTGCGTAGGTTGGAGTGTACAGTAAGCCACCTGTTCTCATTTTTCTATGACGTATTTGAATCCACAGGTATTTATTGATACTTAATTTTCTGTTTATCTGCTACATTTTTCATGTTTTTTATCTGTATCACATTGATTGAAGATTCTAAAACATTCCAAACAACCTTTATATGTTAAATAAACATCCTTTGTTATAACACTAGTGTAAACCTTTTGACAACATTTTCATATAAACATTAAATGTGTAAAGTGAATAGAGTCACTTGTGAACACACAGAATTATCACCTGACTTGGTTTTATATATTATTATTATTATTATTTCCGTATTTGTAATTATTATTCTTGCAACTGGTAAGCTTATCAAACTGCTCCAACCGGTCTTGAACATTTATTCCAGCGACTGTGTGATTGAACTAAGAGATAATAAATACAGGATTTTTATCAGCTGCTACTGAATAAACAAACTGGATTACGTTATGTTTTAAATAACGGCTTGTGCAGACTACAAGATTTTTGTCAAATTTTTGGGCCAAAATTCTTTTGAGCTGAGACAAAAACTCTCAAGTCGGCACAGAATCCTCATTCATGCCCTGAAGATGGGGATGTTGTCACTCTGGAAGAGACCACCTTCTTCCTATATTTCTTCATAGGATACAGATCATCACTAATATCAGAATAACTTTAGTATGGATTTGCAGTGACCCTTCCTCCAAACCATGCCATGAAATTGCCACCTGTATGAAAGCATCTGCAACTGAGCCTTCCTAAGTCCCGCCCCTTTTTGCTAGGTTCTCCTTTCCTGCATTAGATATGTGCTAGGCTCATCTATGTTTAGCCTAGTTTTGAAGATGGTTAAAAGGCAAATGTATGTATACAGCACATTTCATACCCAAGTGCTTTACAGAGCTCACAAGCAAAAGCACAAATAAAACGAGAAACAAATGAGAAAAACTATAAAAGCATACCAGCATACCAAAAAGTCATACCAGTAACTCCTCTCAGCCACCACCATGAATTTTTCTCTCATGATTTTAGTTGCAATTTTCTATCAGAGAACCAGCTGATAAACAGATTTTCTTTGTGTCTTGCAGCTTCTAATTCTAAAACTCTTTGTCCTTGGCTGTTGCAAATTAGCATCTCCCCCTCGTCTTTTGCCTGTGGTGCAGGCACCATGGAGGTTTATGTGTTTTCATGGCAATATAACTCACTGGATTGTAACCTTGGTGTATGCGTTTGTGTGTATCAATACAGAATGCCACAGTGACACCACAGAGAGACGCTGGTGTATAATCGGTAGTCCTCCACCGGCACAAGTCTGACAGAATTATACCCCACGGAGCACTTGGTCTTTGTCCGTCTGATGGATGAGCCGGGGCTGCGGGACAAACTGTTTAAGGGAATTGCCAAACCGGTGTCTCCTGTCTCTTCAAAAAAATGAAGGAATTTGAAAAATAGCAGCAAACATCCTGCTGCATCCGTGGTGATAAATTGGGTGAATCTCAAACAGAAATTTATATCAGCTTGAAATGCATTGCCACAGTGAGAGGGAAGATTTGTGACAGGCATTATTACTGATACACACAGCCAGTGACAGGACACTCGACAAGCAGCTGTAACTCACAGGGAGGGACCAGAGCTGGCCTGCTTTCATTTACTGGTATGAAAACTAAAATTAACTTCGCTTAATTTCCCCATAGCCACGATCATCCTCCTCCTTAATGATTCATACTATAATCTGCAAGAAAGCATTAGTGCAGCTTGAGTTCTTGTGACCGTTTTACAGTATGTTGTGTTGGCAGACTGCAGAGTACTTTTTTTTTTTATTCCTGTGACGCAGAATGAACGCTGGAAATGATCAAAGGAGAAAGCAACAGCCTGCATCTATTCCTCTTTATCTGAGTCTGTAAGATCCACGTTCAATTATAAAGAGTTCTCTGAGGCAGAAGCTTTCATTTCTTTAATTTTTTTGTCATCAAAATTTTCATGCATGCTTAGAGGAGCTTTGCATAAATTCATTCAGTTGTAACTTCATATTCATTATGCAAAACTCTCCCTCACTTTTTTTCCTTAAAGTTTCATTTTCTTCAATCAGGTGAAAAAATCTGCCAGTGCTGTAGGATTACTTCGACATATTCCCAGTACAAATCAACTTATTTCAATTACTGCTACTTTATCAAATTGATTCAAGTGCATCCTCTTTCTGTATTTATTGGACCAGTGACTTTATTTTTCCTCTGACTGTTCCTTCAGTGCCACCAGCAGGTGAACAACTATTAACTCCTCATCTAGCACCATCATCATGTGCCAATTGTAGTTATCAGATACTTTGGTTTATTGGGTTTTGACAATAATTATCCCAACAGCTTAATCTGTACTTTGTGTTACTGTTAATTAACTAAAATGCTATTATAATATTTTCATTGTGAGCATGTTTGCATGCTGATGTTAGCATTTTGGTCGATGCATCAATGTGCGTATGTTCAGCCTCGAAGAACTGCTAGAGTGGCTGTTGAGTCTTCTTTGCCTTAAAATGTAGTCTTAAACAAAGACTTCAGCCACTCATTTCTACTTTTAGAAACAAGTTTCTATCTTTTGAGAACAGATTCTCATTGCACGGACAGATTTTCTTCACTTGTGTCAAGAGGTTTTTGAGCTGCGTTGTAGACAGAAATGGCTTGAAAAGAGGGGGGATTTTTTTTTGCAGCGATTAGCAGAAGCAGAATTATCCCCAGGGCTTTCTTATTCCACTCTCAAGGTAACATGAAAAACACGAAAGAGAGGAGAAATGACACGGAAGGAAGCAACAGTGGAGGGAGAGGGAGCAGACATTGTGGACAAAGATAAAGAGAATGAGATAGAGGAAGGAAAAAAGAGGGGACAGATAGAGAGACGAAGGCAGAGACGGGGGTGGGGGGGTGCTTGCTGTTAAGGATGGGTGGAGGCTTTGTAAATCTGAGAGGCTGGAGGCGCATTTGAATTCAGGCTGTGTGTCTCCTGCGCTAGCCGAATGTTACCTGCTCTAGCATGGCAACAGAGAGAGAGGGAGAGCGGTGAGCTTCAGCTGCAGCCTCCACACACACACACACACACACAAACACACACACACGTGCATACACAGTCACAACAGGAGTGCAAGGAGTGACTCAGGTAACCAGGAACGCTCCTGATGAGATAGGACCTTTGAGAGAGGGAAGCAGCGTGGTGGAGTGAAAGGGAGAGATACTGGAGGAGGAGCTATAGAGCTGGGATTTTTTTTTTTTTGAGGAGGAAGAAAAGAGGAATTGCACAGAACCTGAAAATCTCTGTATCTGGACTCCCAGGGTGGGCTTACAAGGGAGGGATAGACAGGGATATAGGCAAGACGGATGTGGAGTGAAGCGAGAGCTCTGATTGGATAAATCCGACAGAATAGAGAGCAGTGAGAGACACACACAGAGAAGAAAATGACATTTAGTTTTTGTAGCAAGACTATTCGGGGGGCTTAAGCCGGGGAGGCTGGAAGGGAGGGTTTTTTTCTCGACAGGGCGAGTAGCCACAGAGAAAGACGGGTGAGGTGGGGTAGTGTAAATAAACACAGGATGGAAAATGAACCACCTGTCCTTCTGAGTTGAGGTGAGCACACACACAAGAAGATCTCACACTCACACACTCCTCAGCACATCAGACTGGTCCCCGGGACAGTCGCTGGACTCAGCATCCCGGCTCCCCACAGAGCAGCAGGACTTTGAGGATGCTGTGAGACGTTTTTGGCTCCCGGATCACCTGGACTCATCTGAGGACATTAACTTATGAGAGGGACCAGCCACTGAACCTCCCCCCCCCCCCCCTCCCCCCCAGGTGATCCTCCTCCCCTTCCCCTCCTGTGAGAACCTGTGGATATTAGGGAGATTTTTTTTGCAGGATCTCCAACTCAGCTGAAGAGCTGGCGATCAGGTAGATCACCTGCACCATGAGGATCCTGTGTGCAAGCCTGGCCTGAGACGACCCACCCCGGAGGCTCTATCGGCCTGTCCCCTCCTCTTCCCCCAACTGGATGTCTTAATGTATTGCTGTGGGCTGGGACACTGGCGGAGAGTGCAGTCCACCTATGTAAGTGACCATCGCAGCATCACTTGCAGCTTCCATCCGCATGTTTTTGATCCCATAGCAACAGTGGAGTTGTGGCGGGGGGGGGGGGGGGGCATACACAAGCCATGGCAGATAATTGTATATATAGATACTATTGCATGTGTAGTCACTATACACTTTACTTATAATGCTGATGATTCATTCACATTTATAGCTACTAGCAGCTGTGACTCTTACAACCTGTTATTTGCCGCTAAGGTGTTCACTACTCTGCCTCTGTCTATGTGAGTTTTTCAGCCAGGCTGCAGTTTATCAGGACAGACAGTGGCATTGTCAAACAGCTCACTGTATTGATCCCGGCACAGACTCCCTGAAAACATTACCTAAACGCAGATATCCTGTTTTTGGACTCTGGTTTGTTTTCCACCATGAGGCAACAGTTTGATTTCATCACCAAGCAAGAGAAGTGAACAGTTCATGAAAAATGTTTTTTTGCATACCATTGATAAGGTGATTTCAAATAGCTGTTTAGAGTCCTCATATCAACTGTCCTGGTTGAGCTGTCTGAAGGAGCAGCTGAGCTGGGGGAGGACAGACAGGTGCAGTTATCTCATTACAGGCAAGGTTTTACTGTCCTCTCAATGACAGAGAGGAGCAGGGAGAACAGTCTCACTCCTCTCCTCCACCTGTTCCTCTTTATTTCTTCTTGTCTTTCCACAAACTCTCTCCTCCTTTCCTTGCTCTCCTCTCTGTCAGTCTTTCTCCCAGTCTGTTTGTTGCTTCATCACTAAAGTCATTGTTGCTTTTTTCCTTAATGTGTCTCTGTTAAGTCCTGTTGCAGCAAATACTATATGGAGAGTCAGAGCTGTGCATTGTGTGACAGCGCTGACTGCAGAGGACCCTATCGTAGCCACATTCCTACATGAAATAGGCTTACTGTCAGCCCTCAACACTCAATAGGCTGTCAGCGCAGAGCCTCACAGATTACCACAGTCTGTGCTGCTGCATGCAATGTGTGCCCACCTCAGCAACAAGCCAGGAAACTTACAGGAATGAAAAGCTACACACAGCTAAAAGCAGTGACACATCAATAACTGGGACCTGCTGCCTACATTCAGTGAAGTGTAACTGATTTTGTGTGCTTACAACAGTTTAGTGTAAATAAAAACCCTGAGCCACGCAAATGCATGTAAATATAAGGAGGAAATCTATAAGATGTGTTCTTTAGATGCACTGGGGCTTGAAAAGCTTATGATAAATGGTTAATGCCATTCTGCCTAATGTGGTGCAAGTACATTACTCATCTGTTATTTTCACTCCATTTGCCACAACACATTTTGTGTTTTGTTGCCAACTACACAGTCATCAATGAGATTAAAAAAGCTGGATCAATGTAAGTCACAACTTGGTTTAGGACAGCGCTTTCCAACCTGGAGGTTGTGAGGCCGCAAGGGCTCGAAGAATAAATATGGGGGTCAAAAGATGGAAAATGAACATAATCTGCAACACAATTTATGTTTCTTTTTTCAGATTTTTCTTCTATTTCTTCTATTTTCGTCTTTATAATTAAATATGTGATAATCTTCTTTCATCATGGTTCCAAAAAGTATTCAAATCAAACAGTCTGAGTGGGGAACATCACTCTTTGGTTGCAAGTAGACGTGGCTTGGAATTAATTGATTTGGAAAAATGTTTTCAGAAGTAATTTTAAGTTGTTGTTAGATCTTTTCCAGCACTGCCTGAACCATGTGTCGTTTTAAAATTATGTGTTTTTAGAAACGTTCCTCCAGGTGTGGCCTTAGCTGGCAGAGAACAGAGCTGGATTACCTTAAGTGCTTGCCTGGCTCTAAGAAGGAGCTTAAGACATCTTACTGTTCTCTGCTTAGTTGCTGCTGTTTTCATAATGCTGAGTGTGAGGACGGCTCGGCCAACAGGTGAAGGGCGGAGCAGTTGTCCCCATTACATAAATCTGCTAAAACCTTACAAAAAGAGCAAAGAAATTTCAGGGAAAAACTTGTTTTAAAATAGTTAAATAGTAGTTAGTAAAATAGTTGAAAATTGTGTGTATGTCTTATAGCTTCACAATTAAAAGGTAGCATTTGGTTGTCATTGTATCTGTTTATGTCTCATTTTTAATGAAGAGAAGCCAGATGACCAAAAAAAAAGACCAAAAGATGTCAAGAAATGTTGCATCAGAATCTATTATATTCTAGATGGAAGCACAATGTGCTGCAGCAAGGAGATAATTTAACCTTTCATTTTTTTGGTATTTGCCTTTAACTGACAGAAAATGTGGAGAAAGAAAGGGGAATGATGACATGCATGTGAAATTTGACAACCCTACCTTTTATAAAGTTTATGTTACTGTTTAAAGGCATGTTGAATTTTAGAGGTTTGTAAGAAACCAAGAGATTATTTTATGGGAGCATTCAAAAGTTTTTTTAGATTATAGGAATCCTGCCTTAGCATGCCTCCAGTATTATTTTTCTACTTTTTTAACATATCATTACTTTGGGAGGACTTCACCTGAATCATGTTGCTCATGACACTTACAGTGACCATCATAATGAAGAATTTAGAAAGAATTTGGAACCATAAATCATTGCTTTACATAGCAGAGTCACAGCTGTGCCTCCCAACCTGGATACGCCTGCTGTATACCTGAACTTAAACAGGATTGTAAAGTCTGTCATACATCACCATATGTGACTGTTGGGAGAGGCTTAAAATCCAAAACGAACAGATAACGTCACTAATGGAAGTATTTTACTTGTCTGATTTTCAGTTGTGACAGTGAGTTTCAGTTTTTAGCAGTTTTCCTACACGTTTAAAATCTGATTATTGAAATTTATATTCAACTGTTCTCAGATAAAGTCTTAAATCTGGAAAGGAGAGACTACGTGTCTCATAGCGTTACCAGAATGCCTGTTGAGTTTTGATTGATTTAGAGGAAATACACTTAGCTCTCACATACCATTAGTCCCAGTGTTTGTTTTTTTTTTTTTGGTCATTTCTGGTTTTGGTATACCACACTTCTGCCTCCAGTTTTATTTTATGTGTAGGATGCAACGTGTTCTCTTTATTTTTTTATACTGCAGAGGTAGTTGTGATCCCTTTCCTCCTGTTGCCTACTTGTGTCGAGGTGAATCTATAAGGACCACAGATCCATACAGTGCTAAGGTGGACATTGATTATAACGCTGAATCAAAATCTTGTGGATTTGGTAAACATCCTGCAAGCTCAGTATCGACTTGTTTCCACACTCACACAGCTATTTCCTACCTCACTGGAGGCGATGGGATTGTAGATCACAGACGAGTATCTGTGTAGGACCGAAAAAGCTCTTCAAGGCTGCTCAGCCTCAGCTATTTATTTATTTATTCTTAGAAATGTAGACAAGTAAAGGGGGGTTACATTAATTCCTTATAAAGAAAAAGATAACTGTAAGCTGTTGTAATTCTTGAATTAAATAAACAGTGTCTGACTAGAAGACGCATCTAGGTTGTGATATTTCTCTTTATCATTTAGATAAAAGGAAAGTCCGTCAACTGCAATACATTTTGCTCATAAAGGAACATTTTCGGAAATACACTTTTTTTCTTTCTTAGCAAGAGTAGATCGATACCACTTTCACGTCTGTACAGAGTTTACGATGTAAAAACGACAACTGATTGTTCATCAAACTAGCAACCATAACTAGACACTGCAGACCTGTCAAGTTTAATCACATGAAAATAGAAATCGTTATGTTTTTGTTACCTTAGAATGAGCCTTTAATATCTACTAGACTCTCGGGTCGCCTTCCATAGAGTTGGCCATGTTATGTAACTGCTATGTTTTACAGTAGCCCAGAACGGACAAATCGAACAATGGCTCTAAACAAGACTGTTTGTGTTTTCCATGTGTTTCATGCACAGCCACCGTAGTTTCTCCTTCATGCTTGGAAGGCGAGGGTGAACCGAGGGAGTTGCAATGTGTAACTACACCGCTAGATGCCACTAAATCCTCCACACTGGTCCTTTATAGAGCTTTGTGGGCCATGTCTCTTTTGTTAGCCTTTCTGAAACCAAAACCACAAGAGCAAAATGTATATATATATATATATATATATATATATATATATATATATATGCATATATGCATATATACATATACATTTGTACATACATAACCATACCCAATTATACATACATAGGGAACATATAAATACAAACATATGGAAGAAGATAAATTAAAGGAAAGACAACAGAGATAAGTAAACCAACAAGAAGGAGATCTATGGAAAAGGCTTGCCTGTAGAGGTAAGTTTTGAGGAGCCGCTTAAAACAGTCCATGGATTCAGCCAATCTGAGTGATTACTGAAGACTATTCCACAATGTTGGGGCTAGAACCGCAAAGGCACGGTCACCTTTAGTTTTGCAGTTAGAGTGGGGAATGGATAAAAGGCCTAGATCTGAGGAGCGAAGTGGCTGAGGAGTGGAATGAGGAACAAGGAGATCTGAAATGTAACTTTGGGCAAAGTCATGAAGTGCCTTATATGGAATCAGTAAGATCTTATAGTTGATTCTGAATTTTACAGGAAGGTAAGGGAGGGATGCGAGGTTAAAGGTTACATTACGTTGTTACCAGTGTAACATCGTCACTAATTTTAGAGTTATACAGAGAGTTATATCAGAGTTTGGGCTTTATTGGATCTGGGGAAGTTTCACTGTGACGACAACACTCTTAAGTCAATGCACTTGGCTGTGTTCACCAAGATATAGTTACAGCCTAAAATTTATGTTTGTGTTTATGAATGAGTACACTTTCTAAACGTTGGAGAGACAAGCTGGCTGCTTTCCTCATTTGCAATTATGCATGAGCTAACTGGCTCGATCCAGCGCTGTACTTTAAGTAAAGACGTGAGAGTGCAGTACAGTATTGACCTTCTCATCTCACTCTCATAAAGATAGCTAATAAGTGTATTTCCCTAAATCTTGAACTACTCCTTTAAAACCATATGCGTTGTGTAAATTGCAGTT